ACTATGAATTACTTTTTTTTGGGGGGGGGGGGGAAAATAAAAAAGAAAAAAATTTTTTTTTTTTTTTTTTTGGGGGGGGGGGGGGACAATATAAAAGATAGAAACTTTGTTTTTATTTTTCTTGAGTTTCTCCATGTCATAAGATGCTATATCATCATTTTGAAGTATATCAACACATGATAGTATGCTTTTGGCATGCCTATATTTTTAAGCATGTGACGTCAGGTGATTAAGGTATGGAAGCATATTAAAGTGACTTTTAGCTCCAATTCTATGACTTGAGAAGATTTATTTTAATAAGGATCTTTACAAAAACAAGTTTAAACTTCCATTTTTACCTCTTCATGTCAATAATTTAGGATTTATAAGTTCATAGTTCATTAGCCAAGCAGATTATCTTGATTTTAATTTTAAATTTTGAAGGCTCTGAGGAACTAGATAAAAGAGAATCCTAAGCAGAAGTTAAAAATCCAGTTGAGAAAAAGGTATTGTAGAGAAATCTGGGTTTATAATTAGTATTTTATAAACTGTCAAGTAGCTCTGAACAAAAACGTTTGCCTAGATCCAAATTTTAGAAAGAAGAAAATTTAAGTTTCAGCAGAGAAAAAATTATGGTAATCTAATTTAGGGAAGGATTAAATATTTTCATTCATAAAAATCACGGTTTGAATTTAGTAATAATTTTTATAACATCTAATAAAACTGTTACATTTTTTTTTCCCTTTTTGTCTTTTTTCGTGTCCGGCAACGGACTGCAACCCTCAGTGTCGCGCCTGTACCGGACCGGGACCGGCAACGGGATCGCAACCCTCGGTGTTGCTCCCACACCTCGCTCAGCCAGTGAGCGGGAACCGGTCTGTATGTGGGATCCGAACCCTCGGCGGGAGCGCTGCCGTGCTCCCAAGCCGCGCACTGTAGCAGTGCGCCACCGGGCCAGCCCAAAACTGTTATGTTTTTAACAAAAAGCTATTCTCCCCCTTTACTGCATTTATAGTGGTCAGAGTCAGTTTCACAGCAAACAACCAAAAGAAACATGAAGTTTAAAATGTTTTGATTCTTGGTATCTTTGCAGTTAGCCAAAATGAGATATCGTAAGATATCATAATATGAGATAGAAAAATGCTTGTTAGTTGAGAAATGTATTAATTGTATTACATTTAATATCCTCCAAGTGAGGAATTTATTAAAAGTGAAAATAAAAATAGCACAAGCAAACAAGACAAAAATGTGTAGGGAAAACACAAAACTGAAGAGACATGCTACCTCCAGTTTCTGTATATTTTCAATCAAAAATACATTTAACTGCTTATTGTAATTAATGCTATATTGCAGGAGACAGTATAAGAAATATAAGAGCTGATAAAATATCACAAATTCATGATATATTAAATATCTAAATATATAATTTCCATATGTAGTATTTTAAAATAGCCAAAATAAATAAATGTTAAAAATGTTAATGAGAAATTGAAATATTATAAGTCTGTGGTGGAAATAAGTCCACAAATCACCATGTAAGGAAAGGAAAAGGTATTACAGAAAGAAATGCAGTTCTGTATCAATGGCAAGCGTATTTTTACCCCACTCAGTATCATGCATACTTTTTGGTGCTGTATTAGAACACAGTGACTGCGTAAAAAGTTGGTTACAGTCAACAAACAAGACTAAGATATAAATACATCGTTAATTCAGTTAACTTCAGTATGAAAGAAAAGTTACAACATGCAACCTCTTTTTCAATTCATTGATGGTGCACTGTACTAAATTATTTTTAAAGACTGACATAAGACAAGTACAAAAAGCACTGGACATATTTTGAATCCTGAGCATTTACTTGGGATTCTTTCTCTAATAAAAATTTCTATTTTAAATATGGCTTTAGATGACACTATATAATTTTGTATTTTCTGAAAGCTACAAGTTAATTTTAAAGGAATTTATCATTTGTAAAAAAGCTGAATGTATTATACAATTTACTCAGATTTAATTTCTTGGACAAAGATCATATTCCTTATCTTTTAAATTTTAAAGCTTTAAGTTTGAGTGTTTAGTGGTATCAGAAATGTACAGAGAACAGTTAATTTATTCGTTAATGTTCCACATTCACCTCAAATATGATCAAAAGACTTGTAAAAATTTTGTTTTAGATTAAAAAGTCAAAACATAAAACGTGGCTATGAGTAATATTTCAAAATGTGTTCAGCTCTTTCTTCAGAAGGAACATGTGTTCAGCTTTCTTTATTCAATGGATTCCATGCAGTAAGTTCAGGATAATTAGAAATTACATACACAGTATGGGATGAAGCCTGTACTCTCATTCTCATCTGTTGACACCCAAAATATTTAGATTCAAGCAGAAGGACTTTAAGTAAATGAAAAATAAATACATGTCTACAATACATATGAAAAATTTTTGGTAGATTTTATGTCCATCTACAAACTTCTCCTCTTGACTGTCACTTTCCTTATTCCCTCCAAATAAAAATTCATATTGATGTCAACATTTAAAACATGGATTCTATTAAGAAATTATATCAAGAATAAAGGGGGGGAAGAACAAGCAAATTTCCACGAATTCATTTGCAACAACTTATAAATGCACATTATGACTTAGTTTTTTTTGACCAAAAGTATGGTGGTAAGAATATATCAAATGACAGTTCTGATAATTTGGAAAGGTCTATGAAATGGGTGCTTTAATTTAATAAATGCTTATTTTAGTGTCTACGATTATGAAGCACCATAGGCTGTTCAGTCATTTCTTATAGCAAAATCCTTCTCATTTTAATGATGTTGCTCAAACAAGAATTATAAAAAGGTCTATTATCCTCAATTATGAATTTCCAGAAAGAAGAGATTTCATATACTCACCCCTTTATCTCCTCTTGTTTTAGAATTGAATTTCACTGTTTTTAACCGGGCTCGTTCTTTCTTCTCAACCCTTTTAAACAAAGTACAGAACATTACTTCTTAAGTAAACCAAACATACCTAGGGATCTTAACTAGAATCAACAGAACTAAAACTTTTATAATGGGCATTTTTATATTCTAAAACATTTAGGTGCCATCTAGGTTTACATTCCCAAATTAGTTAGAACTGCTGAAAAATGAAATTTAGGGCTCATTTTATTATGAAACAAAAACTATTTATAAGTACCAAAATACAGTATATATCTGTGTACTTATATATGCACTCAACTGCATAATTATATTGAAAGAATTATGAGTCACCATTTATTTTTGAGTTTAGCAATCTTCCAGGTTTTCTGTTTATATCTGTGTACTTATATATGCACTCAACTGCATAATTTTATTGAAAGAATTATGAGTCACCATTTATTTTTGAGTTTAGCAATCTTCCAGGTTTTCTGTTTTTTTCTTTTTTTTTTTTTGACTGGTAAGGGGATCGCAACCCCCGGCATGGTGTGGTCCACACCACACTCAGCCAGTGAGCGCATCGGCCATCCCTATATAGGATCCTAACCTGCGGCCTCAGCGCTACCAGCCCGCACTCTCCCGAGTGAGCCACGGAACTGGCCCTGTTTTGTTTTTTTAAAAATATTACCTTAACATGGAACACATATGCTAAAAATTAAGCTTGAGAGAAAGCAAATGTGGCAAAATGTTAACAACTGGTGAAAGTGGCAAAGGATATGTAGCTGCTCATTGTATTATTCTTGCATTTTTTTTTGTACTTTTCGGTAGCTCTGAAACTTAAAAAAATAAAAAGATGGGAAATACAATTAAGATTAACTCCAATGATATATATGTGTAAATATATAAAGCAGCCAGTTATAGTGTACAAAATAAGAGGTCTGAAATATTTTTAGAAGGATATATAAGAATCGGTAATCTTAGATATTCCTAGGAAGGTGAAACGGGTGCTTTGGGAGGGGCCCTGTATAGCTTTTAGATCTTTTTGAATTTTGAACCCTGTTATATGTTACCTACTAAAAATAAGCAGACAAATAAAACTACAGTAAAACAAATTTTCATGCAGATTGCAACACCAATATGAATCTTCCAAAATTTCATGTAAATTAAGTTTTAACAAATCTTCAGATTTTAACACAGCAACTATGTTATTACAGTGAACCCTCTGTATCCATGATTCTGGATCCGTGGATACAGTATTCACAGGATGGTGAACCCTGGGATACAGTGGGTGAACTTTTCATAACTGTGGCTTCCAGAGGGCCAGCTGTGGGCCTCGGAAATATGCAGATTTTGATATCCACGTGGGAAATGAATCCAATCCCTACTGGATACTGAGAGATGACTGTATACAACAGAAGAATGTACCAAAACAGCCTATGAATAAATGCATTTTCTTTATTTTTTCTTTTTTATCTACCTATATAGTTTTACTATGGTATGGGTACAGCAAAACCTTACCATAATTGTGGATTTAAAACATATGATTTTTACTATTCTAGAGCAATCTTGAAAATCCATGACATAATTTATAATCTTGCCTAGGTACTCTGTGAGGGCACCACAAAACTAGCATTTAGTGGTGACATTTACAGCTCAAAATGGCTTTATTTTCTAATCATTATCTTGTTCAGTAAATATATGAGTGACTTAAATTGTATTTATTTGTAAATACTATTCCTGAAAGAAAGCCAAGAAGTGTAGGAATTATAATCACTTATGTTATTATCAGAAGTAAAGAGGTCTAAGAAAGAGATAGATCTATTTAAGAAAACCTAAATTTTGAATACTACATTCAAGAATGAAATGGCCAATTTGTTGTTTCATACTGTATTTCATGGGGGCACAATTATATTTTATAATGCTACTCACGAATTTGGGGATTGGTAGAGGTCAAGATGTATCTCTTACATTACTTCTTGCTTTAAAACACGGCCTTACAGAATTTTTATACAAAATGAAAAAAAATTTCTTTCTATCAAAGTCAGCAGTATTTCTCATTGGTTGCAGGTACACGTAAAAGCCTTTGCAAGACAATTTTTAGTAACTTTGACCTTGATATTTAAGATGTGAGGTTTCTACCAACTCAACAAGGCATAAAGGAAGCATTTCAGAATTAAAAGCAGACTATGTTCTATTCCAGGAAAAAAGCTATACTGAAGGCTGCATTGCTAAAAGATGATTTGCCATCAAATACAAAATCTAGCCAAATAGTTGGATCTTGCTAAATATATGGATCTAACCAGCAAGACGTATATATATGTATATGTGTCTATAAATAGTTAATATTTATCAATTATAGCGACTCCAAGAAAATAAGTATAAATTCCATTCACTAATAAGAACAAGTTTCTTGCATTATAACTTTGACTTGAAATGAATTAACTAGCTATTATAAACATTACTTTAATGTCGCAACCACTTTTGTTGGCTATCTGAAAACTTTAAACAGTCTTTTAAAAAGGACTTTACGGGAGGGGAGGGGTGGGGGTGGAGAGGAACAGGTAAAGGGGCATGAAAATCAACTACAATATATATTGAGAAGTAAAATAAAAACAACAAAAAAGTGATAATTTGAAAAATGGAAAAAAAAATAAAAAGGACTTTACATCATTTGGATGAATCAGACCTCATAAATCAGCTATTGTGAGGGAATTATGAACTGATATTTTATTTTTATTTATTTATAATTATTATTTTTTTACATTCTAAGATGTTATTGCAGAGCAGTTGGGGTCAGGGAGACAAGAAAGGGGGGGATAGGGTGGGAGGAGGAAAAAGGTGGTCCAGGCCTGTGGCATTCCCCTCATTCTGGCAGGGGAGTGTGGGGGGCTTTCAGCAGTGGCTAGGTAATGGCTGGGCTGGATGCAGACTTCGGGAGGAGTGCGGCTGAGGCCCTCGGCCCCCTACCGTGAACTATTTTAATACCTTTCCTACAAAACTAGAGACATTCAATAGCCTTTCGCAGACCTCAGAAGAGGTCCTCTCATCTGGGATAATCCTTTTCAAAGATAGCCTGCACTTAACCACTTTTGCCACTAGATGGTAAGCATGTACCAATGAATCATTAAAATGAATGGTTCAATGAAAAGAGGAAAGACCATTGGATTGCACCAATACATCTAAATTAAGGAAAAAAAATAAAAAATAAAAAAAGGATGTGAAGCAAACTACCAGATATTTCTAAAAACACTTGCATTTATTTCCATTTGTTAAGTCTAAAATAGGCAATTCACATAATCAAAACCCCCAAACATTTAGGTTCTATCACTACCTACATGAGAAAACCAGACATTTTTAGTTCTCTCTCCCTCCACTGGTACACTGCACAGGGACTTAAATGTACTTATTTTGCTTTTAGCAACTAGTAGGAGCTTTAGAGAATTTTCTGCTTGAGGGCATCATATTTCCTACTTATGTCATTGGTTACTATTAAATGTGAATAAAATTAAATGGTTGTGAAGCACAATATGGAAAACCAAGCATATAATCATCACTTCAGTAAAAGAAATTTATTTGTTTATATTTTCAGTTGTCTTGGAGCTTATTTTTAATTGTATATATTTAAGGTGTACAACTCGATGATTTGACATATGTATACATTGTGAAATAATCACTAAAACCAACCTAATTAACATATCCATCACTTTTTTGGTGGTGAGAACACTTAGGATATACCTTCTTAGCAAGTTTCAAGTATGCAGTATAGTACTGTTACCTATAGTCACCAAGCTATACCATAGATCTTCAGAACTTATTCATCTTGCATAATTGAAACTTTGTATCTCCTGACCAACATCTCCCCATTTCCCCCTCCTCTAGCCCCTGGTAACCATCATTCTACTCTCTGTATGAGTTTGGCTATTTTAGATTTCACATAAAAGTGAGATCACACAATATTTGCTCTTCTGTGTCTGGATTATTTCACTTAACATACTGTTCTCCAGGTCCATCCATGTTGTCTCACAGTGAAAGAAATTTAAAAGAACAACAATTATTTATGTTTCTCTACTTTCAAATGGTAAGAAAAACAGACTTATATTTACCTCCGTTTACTGGGAATCACTCCAACTTCATCACTCTCACCATCTGGTGTAACCTGCCTGGCTTGCCACCATTCATCATCAGAAGCATTAATAACATGGAGGATATCTCCAAATTTGAAGTTCAATCCTTGACTGGGAAGGCCACTATCTTTAGTCTTGTCATAATCAAAAAGGGCTCTAGATTCAGAAGAAAAAACTCCATGATTATTTGTTATAATGATATTAATCAATATTAAACAGGATTCTGAAAGTGTATATAATTTTGATAATTAAATAATATATCATGGTAGGCAAAATAATGCCAAGCTCAATTTTGCACTATAAGAAGATGAGACAAAAAAAAGAAACAGCAAAATCAACTTGTTATGGAAATAGTTTGTTACTAGGTATATTACCTATCTCTTTCAGTATTGCAAGAGAAATTTTAAAAATGCTTTTAATACAATCCAATGGTACCTATATTTAATTCTAAAATGAAGACAGATCTAGAGAGTTGTTCTAAATTAATAAATTAAAGGTAAACATTAAGAGATATACTTCTCTTTACTTTGACTAGACACACTTGGAAAAACAAATTCCCTGACAGATTTGATTCATTAGTTGTGGACTGTAAGACCAGATCAACATAGTGATTATTCTGCCAGTTAATTACTCCATCCATGTGTTCACAAAACTAGAGTTGATAGGGTTTTCAGAGTCAATAACACTGATGAAAATTAACTACAGATGACTTTACCAGCTGCCAAATATTTTGGAAAAAAAAAACAAACCCCAAACCCAAAAAACTCTATTAATATAATTGCAAAATGTTATGAATATCTGAAAATTTGATAAAAATAAAATATTGTGTCCTACCATTTGATTAATTAATATATAATATTTAATCAAATTAAATTCTTAAGTCCAAATAAGCTCTCTCAAGAGTACAGGAAAGAATCCCAGCAATTATATTTATAATACAGTTTACTCATTCTTTTATTCTAGTTTGACAACTGGAAATTAGAATACAAATCATATTCCTTTTCATGTTACCCAACTTTTAAGAACCTATCTCTTGATGTAAAACTCAAGAGGGGTGGAATTATTTAATAGCTAAATGAATTAACTAGTAGTTAATGGTTTCCAAATGTGTTCTTTCAAGTCCTTTCAGGGGCTAATGGCACGAGGGAAGAAGGTGGCAATCAAAAGTGGGAAGGCTCACTTAAGCATATATTAAAACATATTGCTGATGACAATACAAATAAGTATAATATAAAATAGGAAATAAAGTTCTTTAAGAGGTAGAACAAATGTGAAAAACATTCAGAAAAGGGAAAGTACTATTTAACATTTTTATGATCATAAATTAATCTTTTGAACCATAAAGTAATATAACTATATTATTGATGAACAATAGACAAAAGAAATCACCCACAATCTCCACTCCTTATGTTAAGATTTTAGCTTTTATCTTTTAACATATATGATTCATGAAAAAGGAACCCATGGAATAGTATGTTATTAATGATAAGAGTATAATGAACACCTGTTAACCTACTATCCAACCTAAAATTACACATGAAACTTCTAACAATAATTCACGTTCACTTATATATGTATTTTCCCCTGATCCTGCTTCCCTTGGATCAAGAGTTAATCACTATGAAAAGGTAACCAAAATTTTGAATGTAGTGTTTATTATTTCCTTAACCTTTATCCTTTGTTAATTGGTTTGATTTTATCACATATATATGGAGGACTAAACAATATAATGTATGGTTGTCTCACAGCTTTATAAAAAGTTATCTTACTGTATGTAGTCTTCTGCAGCCTTTTTTTTTTTTTACTTTTGAAATTAAAAATACATTGACTAAATAAAGCACAAGACTTCTGGTTAACTATGGCAGACTGACAACTTGTATCTATTTGCTCTCCATCCTGAAACTCATTAAAATGACCCTAAAAAAATTAGAAAAATATAAGAGAGAGAACACAACAGGAGAAAAAGGATTTTAACACATTGTTGGACTATGATAACTAAACTTAGAAAATAAGGAAGCTATAAACTGCCATGCCTGAAGAGAGGGATATTGAAACAAGATTTATTCCACAAGAACCCCCAAAAGGTTCATGAATTAGATGTGTACAGTACCAAGGTAGGCAAGGATAAATTACAGAACTGAAAACACAAGGTGGAAACACTAGATGTAGCACTTAGACCCTTAAGTCCCTTCCCATTCCCACTCCCATAAAACACCAGGGTTTAGTCTCTAGAGAAACTGAATTCATGGAACTTGGTGGGGAGGGGGAAGGTGCTGGACTGAAAACAGATGCAGGAAAAGGAAATCCACATACTGAAAATGGAAATTCTAGCAACTTGGTTTAAGCTGCTGGCAGGAGATTAAGGATTCTTCTGTGGAGATACTTACTGACATCAAAAGAAAAGAATGACATAGGGCAGGCAAGTAAATGAAAAAGCCAATTTATCTACTCTCCTTCATTATCTTCTAGTTAAAACTGCTAGCTTCATTCTTTACTCATAAGAATGGAAGAACCACTGAATATTTAAAGAACGACTTACACATAAAAAACTAAAGAAACCCCCTGCACAAAAATAAGCTCACTTGAAAAAAGGAACTCCGAGAAAGCAGAGAATACAAGAAACAGAAAAAAACTTTGGAGAAATGTGAGATGATATGATGTCCCTGAAATAAAAGGAAGATGTCAAAAAAGAATCAGGTAACAAGTATCTCTTGGAAAATAAAATAGAGTATCATCCCCTTTCCCCAAATCCCAAATTTTCTATTGAGGAGAAGGCAGAATACTAAGTCATTTTCAGACATGTTAAGACTCAAAAAGTACCTCCCACACACCTACTTCTCAGGAATTTAGTGGAGCATGTGCTTTGGCAAAAATAAAAGTAAATTTAGAAGAAAATGTGGCATCTAGGAAACAGATTCTGACACAGTAAAGAGCCAAAGGGAATAGAATAATGGCAAAGGGAAGTCCTGTCTGAGAGCTATATAGCAAGTCTACAGAGCAAGTAATCAAGAATTGAGTATAAAGATGGAAAAAACCTGAGGAGGGCCACGTGTGTGACCATATGTTTCATCATGTAAAAAACTTTGGAGAGGCTATTGGAAGATACAGGAAGATACTTAGTAATGTACATGGAAAATTAAGCAAATGAAAGTGTGAGATGATTATTAAGTCCAGGAAAAATGAAGGGTTGCAGAAGAAAGGAAGCATGGTCATAGGGTACTACTTGACTGAGTAATGACAGCTATTACACAGTCACATGACTGTAAAGGCTATTAATTTTATTCACAACATCCCTTTTGTATAGAAAAAATAAATAAAACAAAAAAAAATTATTCACAATGAGAGGATTACGTTTGAGAGATAGAAGAGGCAGATTGAGTAGTTTGGTATGAGAGAAAAAAGTTCTCATTTACCATGGTAGTAAGTCCTTAATGTCCAAAACTGGTAAAGTAGAAAACAGTGTTATATGTGTGTTTATTTAGAAATTTGGAAGTAAAGTCAAGGGAGTTTGTTAGGAAAATGGAGGATGACTGATTCTAGCAAATGAAACTGAGAGCTGGTGGGAAATGACAGTTATTTTTTATTATAAGCCTTTCGATAATATATGACTTTTAAAAACAGAGTATTACTTGACTAAAAATAAAAATTAATAACAAAAGTGAAAATGTTCAAGCTGTAGTGGATTGAATTTTGTCCCCCCAAAAGTCACTGAAGCTTTGTGTCCCCAAGTTTTATGTATTAGAAACTTATCCTCCACGGTAACTATTAACAGGGTGGGAAATCCTATTACGGTAATTGAAAGGTGGAGCCTTGAAGAGGTGATTGGATTGTAGGACTATGCAGTAGTGAACGGATTAAAAATGGTGGGCAGGGGCATGGTTGTGAGGGTTTTAAAAGAAGAGTTTGTCTCTTTCTCTCTCTCTCTCTCTCTCTCTCTCTCTCTCTGCTTCCACCATCTTGCAATGTGAGACCCCTGGGTCACTACTGCCAGCATCAAACGGACTTTGGACTTCCCAGCCTCAGAAATAGTAAGTGATAAATTTTGTTTTTCTTTATATATCACCCAGTTACGTGTATTCTGTTATAAGTAACAGAAAGGGACTAATACAGAAAATTGGTACCAGAGAAGTAGGGTGTTCTTTATAACAAATACTTGAAATGTGGAAGTAGCTTTGGAACTGGGTGTTAGGCAAAGGTTGGAGGGGTTTGGAGAACTCAGAAGAAGACAAAAAGACAAAGGAAAGTTTGGAATGTCTTAAGAGACTGGTTATGTGATGGCAAGCAGAATGCTGACAGAAATATGCACTGTAAAGACCATTCTAAGGAGGTCTCAGATAGAAATAAGAAGGAGTTTATTGGAAAGTGGGGCAAAGATCACCCTTGCTGTCAATTGGCAAGGAACTTGGCTGCACTGTGTCCATGCCCTAGGACTTTGTGGAATTTGGAACTTAAGAGTTGTGAACCAGAGTATATGGCAGAAGAAATTTCTAAGCAGCAAAGCATTAAGAAAGCTGCAGGACTACTTGAAACAGCCTATGTTGAGTTGTGGCGGCAAAGGCATAATGTAAAGCCAGAATTTAAAAGGAAAGCAGAGTGTAAAAATTTAGAAAATTTGCAGCCTGGCCATGTGGTAAAGAAGCAGGGAGCCTATAATGGTGCAGCCCAGCGATCCTTAGATAAGATTAGTGCAAAGAAAGGGAATATGAAGAGGAGAAAAGGCCCTGAAGGCACTGCAGAGGACTTTGAGGCCAACCCGTCCATTTCAGGCCCAAAGACCTAGGGAGACAAAATGGCCTTGGGGAACAGGCTTGAGGTGCCCACCATGGGCTCACTGCCCAGGGCCACCTTGGGATGCTGCTCCCCACACCAGTACCCCAGCTGCTTTGGCTGCCCCAGCTGTGGCTAAATTGGCCCCAGGTGTGGCTGGATGCACAGCTTTGGAATATAGGCTGGAAGCCTTGGCAGAATCCACGTGGTGTTAGGTCTACAGGCTTAGAGCTGTGAAAGCTTGAGAACCTCCATCCCAATTTCAAAGGATGTATGGAAAAGTCTGGGGGCCCAGGAAGAGATCTGTCACAGGGGCAGAGTCACTGCAGATAGCCTTTGCTAGAGCAATGCTGAGCTGAAATATGGGGTCAGGGTTGCAGCAGAGAAATGCCAACAGTGCCATGCCTAGTGGAACCATGCGAGTGAGACTGCCACGGAGACCCCAGACCTGTGGAGCTACCAGAGTTGAACACCAGCCTGGGAGAGCTGAAGTGTGGCCTGAGACCAGGAACACCATAGGAGCAGAGCTGCCCAAAGACTTGGGGACCCAACCCCCATACCAGCGTGCAGAGGTTGAACATAGAGTCAAGGTACCCGATTCGCCAGCTTTGAGATTAATGCCTGCCCTGCTGGGTTTTGGACTTGTTTGGGAACTCTTATACCTTTCTTTTGGCCCATTTCTCCCTTCTGGAATGGGAATATGTACCCTATGTTTGTCCCACCTTTGTATTTTGGAAGTAGATAACTTATATTGATTTCGAAGATGGGACTATGAACTTTGGACTTCTGAGTCGAAACAAGTTAAGATTTTGGGAATGAAATGAATGTAATTTCATCTGAAAAGAAATGAGTTTTGTGTGGCCAGGGGTTGAATGTAGTGGATTGAATTATGTTCCCTCAAAAGTCTTTGAAGCTTGAATGTGTCCCCCAAATTTTATGTTTTAGAAACTTAGCCCTCCATGGTGACTGTCAAGAGGGTGGGAAATCCTATTACAGTAATTGAAAGGTGGAGCCTTGGATTGTAGTACTGCACAGGAGTGAATGGATTAAAAATGGTGGTCAGGGGCATGGTTCTGATGGCTTTAAAAGAGGAGAGTCTGTCTCTGTCTCTCTCTGCTCCCACTATATTGCAATGTGAGACCCCTGGGTCACTGTTGCTACCATCAGATGGACTCTGGATGTCCCAGCCTCAGAAAGTGTAAGCAATAAATTTCATTTTTCTTTATAAATCACCCAGTTCTGTGTATTTTGTTATAAGCAACAGAAACAGACTAATACACAAGTGGAATCGAATATGTTGTTTTGATTTTATGCCTTTGTAAGAATTTAATAAATCTCAAATAAAAGGTAAGACTGGCTTGCTGGTTAGCTCAGTTGGTTAAAGCATGATGCTGGTAAACATCAAGGTCAAGGGTTCAATCCCTGTAGGATCAGCTGCCCCTCGCCCCCCCAAAAAACCAACACCTACTAATTCTACTAAAATTAGAAAATACAGATAAGCAAAAAGAAGAAAATGAAGAAAAGGGAGTATAAACAAAAATCTGTATGTTTGCCCTTCTTCTGTGTGTATAAAATACCTTTAATGTCTTTGGAACAGAAGAGTTTAATAGCTAATACAAGAATTGGTGGAAAGAGAAAAAAATGTAGGATTTCCACAGCATTGATATTATAGAAGCAACAAGAGGGGCTGGAACAGAATGAAAGAAGAGAGAAAAGTTTTCTTTATTATATATTACAGAATAAAATTATTTGAGACAATAAGTTACATCATGTAAACAAGTATAGAGTACATGCTTGTGTGTACAGATATATTTATATACACACATAAGCATATATATAGGATACATGTCTATTTATGTAATGTGTATCATTTCTCACCAGAAGGATAAATAAAACATATTAAGAATAGGTCCCCCTTGGGCCGGCCCAGTGGCGCACTGGAGAGTGCGCCGCTTGGTAGCGTGGCGGCGCTCCCGCCGAGGGTTCGGATCCCATGTGGAGACCGGTTCCCGCTCACTGGCTGAGCGCGGTGCGGGCGCAACACCGAGGGTTGCGATCCCGTTACCGGTCAGTAAAAAAGACAAAAAGGAAAAAAAAAAAAAATAGGTCCCCCAAGAGGATCAGGAGGAAAGAGAGAGTAATTAATGAAGAATACCTCAGATTACTTGTAGTCCTTAACTAACATTAAAATAATAGTATAATATAGTTCTCAGTCAAAGCTCTACTAAAAAAAGTACAGAATATAAATAAATGGGATTTCTGTTTTTAACTCTTATTAGCCAATGAAATTAAAAAAAATCAGTATATATACTAACAGGATCTACTTAACATTATTAGATCTATAGTGCCATATTAATATGTTACAGACATGTATGTTTGTCTTCTCACAAATGTTTAAAAAACACACATAGAAATTTCCTATATACATATTCTTTACCAAGGCTATTCACGTTTTAAACTATTATTTACATATGCTGTCTTTGTTATTACGGAAATTGCTATAGTAATTAAACGTTACTCAAATTATAAAAGGATACAGATAAATCTAAGTGTTAGATAATAATAGGGCTGGCCCGTGGCTCACTCGGTAGAGTGCGGTGCTGATAACACCAAGGCCCCGGGTTCGGATCCCACATAGGGATGGCCGGTTTGCTCACTGGCTGAGCGCGGTGCGGGCGCAACACCGAGGGTTGCGATCCCGTTACCGGTCAGTAAAAAAGACAAAAAGGAAAAAAAAAAA